CTGGAGCCAGATGGTCACTGCATGCCGGAGTCCCTGCACGTGTGGGAGGAGAATACACCACTGGCTGGAAGATCCCTTCTGGGAATGAGTCTAGTGGGATCAAGGGCTGCTCGGCGTGAGGGTGAGGGTGAGAGAGAGAGAGAGAGAGAGAGAGGGGGTGTATGGGGATAGATAGACAGACAGATGTGGGGGGATAGATTGATCGATAGATCAATCATTCTCAAAGTCACTTTTTTTGTTTTTTCATTTTTATTCAGCGCCCACTACAAAGCAGGGAGTGAAACACAGCAGGCCGTGGGCAGGGCAGGGCAGGGCAGGGCAGGTGGGAAGGAGGGATCAGCCGGGGGATGGATCTGCAATCGCTGAGGGCGACCCTTGCTCTGATCCCTTCTGGCTGCCTGGCCGGCGTGGGGCACAGGGGTGTGCCGAACAGGAGCTGCTCCCCAGGAACCTACTGTGGCGACTCCCGGAGAGCCCCACACCGCCGGGTCTGCCCCAGGGCTGGGTTCGTGTCTCGTACCCCAGATGACAAGAACCAACTCTTCCCCAGCAACGAGGCAGCCAAAGGGGGCTGGGCTCGAACATCTAACTCCCTTAATTTCCCTGCCTGGATACTCCTAGTTTGGGGGTGCCTGAGTGGATCTGTGTCAGCCTCCAGCTTCGGACTGGGCAGGGATTCACAGCCGGGCTCCAGGCAGCAAGCTCCTGATGGTGTCTTCGAGCCAGGGGATGAAGAGATATGAATATGTGCTCTGTGTTGATGCTGGAAGAGTGTCTGCAATGGGCCAGGGAAGTTCAGCAGCGCTTTCTGGCGGGGCTCAGGGTTGCAGGTCCTTCATCGTCTTCTGGATCCAGGGGATGAAGGCTGTGACTCTCGTGTACACGGCAGGGGGGGTTCCATCCTCGGGTCCCCAAGAGACGATGCCCTGGGCTTTTTTCCCACACACCAGGGGGCCCCCAGAGTCTCCCTGTGAAATGGAAAAACACAGACAAAGAACAGGGGTGAGCCGCACTCATCCATTGCCAGTAACATGGCAGCTCCCCTTTCATTTGTACAGCCCCGAGCGCAGCAGGACCAAGTCTTGACTTCCACCCCAGTAGCCTGACACAAACCACGAGTTTCGCAAGGAAGATTTTAGATTTACTTTGAAAGAACTGCTGCCTTCGTCTGGGTCCCCCACACACATCATGGTGGTGGCGTCGTAGTAGGGGTAGGGCTCATCCTGGTTCCTTGGACAACCGGCATCCTCCATCACCGCCACGTCGGCCTCCCACAGCGTGTCTGACATCTGCTTCTTCTCTAGACTAGTCCTGCCCCAGCCAGCGACGCTGCACTTGGTCTTCGGACGGACTCGCTGCTTGGCCGAGGGCAGCTTGATGAAGTCCACATATCTATTGCGCTGAGCTTTGCCCTGCAGCTACACACAGGCATGGACACAAGCACAAGGGAGAATACGAGACTCACCAGGCCAATGAGGAAGAACCCACAGAAAATACACAGCCATGAGTTCAGTAGGGTTCGGTTGATGGGATGGGGTGGTACCTGCAGCAGTGTGAGGTCACTGGGGGTGGGGGATGGGATGGGGCGGTACCTGCAGCAGTATGAGGTCACTGGGGGTGGGGGATGGGATGGGGCGGTACCTGCAGCAGTATGAGGTCACTGGGGGTGGGGGATGGGATGGGGCGGTACCTGCAGCAGTATGAGGTCACTGGGGGTGGGGGATGGGATGGGGCGGTACCTGCAGCAGTATGAGGTCACTGGGGGTGGGGGATGGGATGGGGCGGTACCTGCAGCAGTATGAGGTCACTGGGGGTGGGGGATGGGATGGGGCGGTACCTGCAGCAGTATGAGGTCACTGGGGGTGGGGGATGGGATGGGGCGGTACCTGCAGCAGTATGAGGTCACTGGGGGTGGGGGATGGGATGGGGCGGTACCTGCAGCAGTATGAGGTCACTGGGGGTGGGGGATGGGATGGGGCGGTACCTGCAGCAGTATGAGGTCACTGGGGGTGGGGGATGGGATGGGGCGGTACCTGCAGCAGTATGAGGTCACTGGGGGTGGGGGATGGGATGGGGCGGTACCTGCAGCAGTATGAGGTCACTGGGGGTGGGGGATGGGATGGGGCGGTACCTGCAGCAGTATGAGGTCACTGGGGGTGGGGGATGGGATGGGGCGGTACCTGCAGCAGTATGAGGTCACTGGGGGTGGGGGATGGGATGGGGCGGTACCTGCAGCAGTATGAGGTCACTGGGGGTGGGGGATGGGATGGGGCGGTACCTGCAGCAGTATGAGGTCACTGGGGGTGGGGGATGGGATGGGGCGGTACCTGCAGCAGTATGAGGTCACTGGGGGTGGGGGATGGGATGGGGCGGTACCTGCAGCAGTATGAGGTCACTGGGGGTGGGGGATGGGATGGGGCGGTACCTGCAGCAGTATGAGGTCACTGGGGGTGGGGGATGGGATGGGGCGGTACCTGCAGCAGTATGAGGTCACTGGGGGTGGGGGATGGGATGGGGCGGTACCTGCAGCAGTATGAGGTCACTGGGGGTGGGGGATGGGATGGGGCGGTACCTGCAGCAGTATGAGGTCACTGGGGGTGGGGGATGGGATGGGGCGGTACCTGCAGCAGTATGAGGTCACTGGGGGTGGGGGATGGGATGGGGCGGTACCTGCAGCAGTATGAGGTCACTGGGGGTGGGGGATGGGATGGGGCGGTACCTGCAGCAGTATGAGGTCACTGGGGGTGGGGGATGGGATGGGGCGGTACCTGCAGCAGTATGAGGTCACTGGGGGTGGGGGATGGGATGGGGCGGTACCTGCAGCAGTATGAGGTCACTGGGGGTGGGGGATGGGATGGGGCGGTACCTGCAGCAGTATGAGGTCACTGGGGGTGGGGGATGGGATGGGGTGGTACCTGCAGTATCATGATGTCGTTATTTTTCGGTGTATCGTTGTACTGCGGGTGGGGGATCTGCCGTTGCACGGGGATCACTTGCTGGCTCGGTTCCCATTGGCTGACGTTATGGGCTCCCAGGACCACAGTGATGATTCTCTGAAAGCTGAAAGTGTCACATGGGGCGTTAGAGGCCGGGAATGGACACGTCTGTTTCTGGCTCATCAATTCTTCCTGTTGCCTTTGAGCTTGGGCCTCAGCTCCCCACCCGTATCCAATTCCCCTCTCCCAGCTTGGTCCAGGCCGGGGTACATGGCCAGCCCCCCAGCCCAGCTCCCTGCTGAGTTGCCCTGGGGCAGGGACCCCTTCCTGCCCTGTGCATTAGCCCCATTGATTTACCCCGCTCTGGGGCTCGACTGTGGGTTGAGAGGCCCCTGGAGACTCACCGACGCCCCCAGAGCAGGTCTGACCCCCAGGCTCTGCTCCCCCAGCCTGGCCACTCCCTACCAGTGCCAGAGCTGCCAGCTGCCCCCCCCCCACTGAACCCTCCTGCCCCCACATTCCACCCCAGAAGCACTTACTCTCCCTGGCAGTGAGCTGCCGTCAGCACGATGTTTGGCTTCACCAGGAACCCAGCACACTTAGACAATTTCTTTGTACGTCGTACACGCAAGTAGGCCATGTAGGGCCTGGAGTGGGGCTCGGCTTCATGCCCCCCGATGATCTCACCTGGGGGGAGACCAGCTTCACACAAAGGCTCTCTCGACTCCCTGGGCATGGATGCCGTTCGCACCCTGATGGCGTCCCCTTCTGCATCAGCCCAGAGTGGCTGGACTGTGTGAAGCCCGACCCTCAAATCTCTGGTCCCGTGGAAAATCGTGGGGTTTCCTAAAGGCGTATTGCTGAGACCGCCTCGTCTGCCCCCTGCCCCATTGCCTGTGGCCAAAACCGTGCTCAGCTTCGTTGTGCCGATGGGGAACCTGAGGCCCAACTGGATGGTTTCTAATCATGAGCGCTCACTTCCTCTCACCACAGCATCGAAATCCCAACCTCGTGGAACTAGTCCAACGTTTCCACCGGGAGGCGAGGGTGAGCTGGGATTGGCTTATCCTGCTCCTGGAGACCCTCCCTCCAGAATGGTCCAGCAGGTAGAAGTTTTATTGGGTCACAAGGACACAAACCAGTCCCAGGCCCTTCGCCCCCTTTTTCTGCCCCCAGATCCTCCTCTCCCAGCCAAGACTGACCCCACCTCCTCCCTTTCCCGTCTCAGGCATCCCCGCCGATGCTTTGTCAACCCTTCCCATGCAGCAGTTGTTATCCCATGTCTGGCCCTCGGGTGTCGGAGCCCAACACACGTCAGCAGTGAGCCATGCTCAGCCTCCCCCTCCTCATGCACTGCTGCAGTCGATGGGGGAAACTGAGGCACACACCCAGCCCAATCCAGCAAAGAGTGAATACAACCACCCCCCTAGTCATGGTCCCACCTATGCAGTATCCAGAGATGGCTCCACCTCCTATGGCGCATGTCCACTGATTTAGAGCCTCAGGAGCTCGTATCTGGTTGGTTTCCACCAGAATGTCCAAGTCCCTTAACAACGTGGCACCCAACCCCCACAATAACATTGGCCCTAGGAGCTGAACCCGCTGGTGTCCAAGGGTTGGGAGGGGGAGGCCACATCTCCTTGGCATCGCCGACCGCCTTGGCCTTACAACCATCACCCATCACCAGCCAATGTGAGCCCCGGCACATCGAGCAATGGACAGACCGCCCCTTGGGTTAGTGGTCAGATCCCGGTCGCCCTCAGTAACAGGCAAATATCACACTCAGAACACCCTCATGGTCACTGCGGGGCTTCCTGTTTCCAAAGCTGGGGGTCTCACAGGGTGGGGGCCTGTCTCTTTGAGGGGCGCCAGCCTCGATCAGGCCTCAGGGTGGGGGACGGGCTGGCTCTGGGGTGAGGAGTGTGACACGGGGGCCTTTCCCCTCTAGGGCGGCTTGGAGCTGCTGTCCCTGATCCAAGGGGCGAGTTTTGCCCTTCCCCTGCTCCTCTGTACACGATGAGGGTGATACTGACCGGTGTTGGTGCTGGGGGAGACTCCCCATGACACTCTGAACCCCTCTGCTCACCCCTGTACCGGACAGTGCTCAGTTTGGTGAAAACTTGGCCTTGTGATTCCCTCTCTCTGCCATCGGACGGGCCAAATTGCCTTCAGGGAGGGTCCCCCACTCCATTCAATTCTGCCTCCTCTGTACTTTCGATGCAGTGAGTTCCATGGGCAGAGATACAGGGATAGATCATTTTGGTCGAGTCAACGCCCCTTTAGAGAATCATACAACCCTAGAACTGGAAGGGATCTTGAAAGTCATCAAGTCCTGTCCCCTGCCCTCACGGCAGGACCAAGCTCCGTCTAGACCATCCCTGACAGGTGTCTGTCCAACCTGCTCTTAAATATCTCCACAGATGGAGATTCCACAACTTACCTCCCTGGGCAAATTTATTCCAGTGTTTCAGCACCTGGACAGGTAGGAAGTTTTTCCTAATGTCCAACCTCAACCTCCCTTGCTGCAGTTTAAGCCCATTGCTTCTTGTCCTGTCCTCAGAGGCCAAGATGAACAACTTTTCTCCCTCCTCCTGTGACACCCTTTTAGATGCTTGAAAACCGCTCTCCTGTCCCCCCTCAGCCTTCTCCTTTTGAAACTAAACAAACCCAATTCCTTCAGCCTCCTCACATAGGTCATGTTCTCTCAACCGTGCATCATTCTCATTGCTCTTCTCTAGACCCTCTCCAATTTCTCCACATCTTTCCTGAAATGCGGTGCCCAGAACTGGACACAATCCTCCAACTGAGACCTAACCAGTGCAGAGTCGAGTGGAAGAATGACTCTTTGGGTATGTCTAGAGTGCATTCCTCTGTTGGCAGAGGGATGCAGATTAGGCAGGTTGACATTGCAAATGAGGCAGGGATTTAAATATCCCGCGCGTAATTTGCATAGAGAGGGCCACTGCGTTTTGGCGACTCGGCACTTTGTTGGCAAAAAGCGGCAGTCTAGATGGGGATCTGTGGAGAAAGAAAGCCTTTTTCAACAGATCCTGTAGCCTTCCTTGCAGGAGGCATAAGTCATCTGTCGAAAAACGTTTTCTTTCTCGACAGATCCCCCTCTAGATTAGCGCTACACTGCTGCTTTTAGCCGACAAAGTGCTGAGTTGGCAAAACGCGGCGGCCCTTTTTATGCAAATTACGTGCGGGATATTTAAATCCCTTCCTCATTTGCAATGTCGACCTGCCTAATTTGCATCCCCTCTGCTTCTTGCTCACAACACACCTGTTAATGCAGCCCAGAATCATGCTGGCTTTTTTGCTACAGCGTCACACTGTTGACTCCTGTTTAGCTTATAACCCCTAGATCCCTTTCCGCTGGACTCCTTCCTAGACAGTCGCTTCCCATTTTGTATGTGGGACATGGATTGTTCCTTCCTCAGTGGAGCAGTTGAGAATTCCCAGGGAGATGTCAAAACTAGGCACAGCCCCTGAGTCTAGTCCAGAGGAGCCTCTGAGTCCAGGCCTGGTTCTTCTGCTGGGGGCTTCCCTGCTCTGCCTCTGGGGAGCGCTCTTTTTCATCCCCCTCCCTGCCCCCTGTGTCCCCTCTAGCTGTTCCCCTCCCCCAGCCTGTGCACCATTTCCCAACTGCACCCAGGTTCCATCTCCCATCTATCTCTTGGGTCACCACCTGGCCAATATTTGACCAGCCCTGCCAGGATTTTGTGTGGATTTACCTGGGCTCACGTTGCAGCGGGGGAGGTCCGGGTTGGCGTATGTCTACACTACAAAGTTAATTCGAACTAACAGCTGTTAGTTTGAATTGACTTTGCTAGGCGCTACACAGGCAAACTGCTAGTTTGAAATTAATTCGAACTAGCGGAGCGCTTAATTCGAACGAGGTAAACCTCATTCCACGAGGACTAACGCCTAGTTCGAAATCAAGGGCTGTGTAGCCCCTTAATTCGAACTAGTGGGAGGCTAGCTCTCCCCAGCTTGCCCTGGTGGCCACTCTGGGCACCACCAGGGAAACTCTTCTGCCCCCCTCCCAGCCCCGGAGCCCTTAAAGGGGCA